AATACTAAAAATATTATATCTATCAGATCTCACTCTCGTAAGTGACCATGAAGGGATTGACAACCCCTAATCGCGTTGGTTGCGAGTAGCTATCGTTTTGTGCAGGTACGAGGGACTTGAGTGTGGCCTCCTACTGGATTAATACCTTGGTTCTCAAAAACTAAGGGAAATACTTACGCTACTTTGCTGCATCATCCCTTCCACTTTGTGGAAAACCAACGCAAGTTCAAGAGGTAGTAAAAAGGATTTCTGGCGCCGTTGCCGGGGAGTCTACTCAAAAAGTCAACATACCAAGTACCCATCACAATCTCTATCTCTCGCATTACATTATTTGCCATTTGCCTCTCGTTTTCCTCTCCCCCACTTCACCCTTGCCGTTTTATTCGCTCTCTCTCTCTCTCTATCCTCCCTCTCTTTTCCGCTTGCCTTTTTGTTTGCTCGTGTGTTGGATTGCTTGTTTGTCGCGATGGCTCAAGATACTACCAAATTGTGTGACTTCACCAATACCAATAATAATGATTTCCTTAGCACTCCGATTGCTCCTCTTACCAATGCTGAATCTTGTGAAATTAATACTGCTTTGTTGAATCTTGTTATGAAAGATCAATTCGCCGGCCTTCATTGTGAAGATGCCGCTACTCATCTGAATAGCTTCGTTGATTTATGTGATATGCAAAAGAAAAAAGATGTCGATAATGATGTCGTTAAATTGAAGCTATTTCCTTTTTCGCTTAGAGATCGTGCTAAAGCTTGGTTTTTGTCTTTGCTTAAGAATAGTACTGATTCATGGAACAAGTGCAAAGATGCTTTTATCTCTAAGTATTTTCCTCCCGCTAAGATCATCTCTCTTAGAAACGATATTATGAACTTTAAACAACTTGATCATGGACATGTTGCACAAGCTTGGGAGAGAATGAAATTAATGATACATAATTGCCCTACTCATGGTTTGAATTTGTTGATGATTATACAAAAAATTTATGCCGGATTGAAATTTGCTTCTAGAAATCTTTTAGATTCGGCTGCGGGAGGCACTTTTATGGAAATCACTTTAGGAGATGCTACTAAACTCCTAGATAATATTATGGTTAATTATTCTCAATGGCATACTGAAAGATCTTCTAATAAAAAAAGTGCATGCGATAAAAGAAATTAATGTGTTGAGTGGAAAGATGGATGAACTTATGAAATTATTTGCTACTAAGAGTGTTTCTTCTGATCCTAATGACATGCCTTTGTCTACTTTGATTGAGAATAACAATGAATCTATGGACGTGAATTTTGTTGGTAGGAATAATTTTGGTAACAACGCTTATAGAGGGAATTTTAATCCTAGGCCATATCCTAGTAATCCTTCTAATAATTATGGGAATTCCTACAACAACTCTTATGGAAATTATAATAAGATGCCCTCTGAATTTGAGAATAGTGTTAAAGAGTTTATGAATTCACAAAAGAATTTTAATGCTTTGCTTGAGGAGAAATTGCTTAAAGTTGATGATTTGGCTAGAAACGTTGATAGAATTTCTCTTGAGGTTGATTATTTAAAACTTAGATCTATTCCTCCTAAACATGATATCAATGAGTCTCTCAAAGCCATGAGAATTTCCATTGATGAGTGCAAGGAAAGAACCGCTAGGATGCGTGCTTCCAAAGATGCCTTTATTAAAGCGTGTTCCTCCAATTCCTATGAAAATCAAGATGAAGATCTAAAAGTTATTGATGTGTCCCCTATTAAATCTTTGTTTTGCAATATGAATCTTGATGAAACTGAATATGATCTTCCTTTACCTAGAAGGCGTTCTAAAAATTCGGAGTAACCAAGTTGCAAAACTTGATGATGTTGATCTGAATAGCGTGCCGGCGATACGACAACGACTTCCCGTTTCGTCGTTGAATGATGTATGTGTCGTAGGGTGGAATGTGCTTTCCTGCGTGAAACTTTTCATGCACTTGCTCCCAAAATGGCGGCCATATGGTCTTGCCTATGAAATCCGCGGATATAGCCAGCCACGCATGGCACCACAACTCATCCTCCATCGTCGAGTAGCTCACCATCCTCCGTACTCTAAAAAATGACATAGCATCTGAAAATAAGTTCATTAACCTTTGACCGAACACCAGCCGGGCGTGGTGTCCACCATGAAGGTCGTCGACAGGGGGACAGAGTGTACCTGGGTACAAATGACTCTAGGGCGGAAAGCTTCGTCGGGATGGCGAGCGGGCGTGTCGATGCTGGTTGCAGATGTCCGGCAATGCCCCTGTGGCGGCCAGAGATGAACAACAACGGCGGCAGAGGTGAAGGGTGCGAATGTAAAGTAAGAGGAAGAAGGGGCGGAGTGGAAGGAAATGGTACCGGGAAGGGGGTTTTGCTGTGCCGGGGATGTTGGAGTCCTACATTTCAGGTGTCCGGACACCCGCAAACCTTATACACTTTTGTCTCTAATTTACGGGAGAAATCATGTTCAGACCATCCCGTGGACCGATACAGGTAGGCGTTGGATGATTTCCATGGTCCGGACAGTTATGGGAGGTTTATGGATCCGCCTTCAAGATGCGCTTAGTAATAAAAATAATACCGCATCGATCGCGTCTTGATTCTTGGTACTAATCGCGTCGTTATTCACGGCGGCGGTAGCTAGCTAGTACTAGCTACTTTACCGATTCTTCCACCCACTGAGCCATGACCGACAGCAAACTGGTGATCCAGCGCGCGAGGATCGGAGCAGAAACAAACAAACAAAAAAACAAACAAACAAACCCACCCTTCCCCTGGGGGGGTGAGGCGAGACAGGATAAAGACTATGGGGTTTCTATTCTGGCACAGTAGAAGGAAAGAAAGCAGCGTGCTCCTCGATGCAGGCGATCGAGACGGAATATTTGCACGCGTGTTCCGAGGAGAGGACACGCACCACACCACCACCTTGCCATGCATCTCTCCCTCCTTCCCTAGCTAGCTACCCCTAGCACTAGCACCTCTGCCGCTGCACCCTAGCTAGCTACTCTCTCCGTTCTCTCTCTTGCTAGCCTGCGTGTGTGCCGTGTCGAATGGTGCAGCACACTGTTGGTGGTGCTCGGCCAGGCCAGGCGATGGACGGATGGACGGATCGATGCATGCATGCATGCATGCATGTTGCGCGGGAGGCAGCGACAAAAAACAAAAGGGAGCTACGAGCAAGCCCTAGCCCGTCTCCCTCCTCTCTCTCTCTCCACCAACCCAACCCCAAGCAAACATAAGGCTGCACCGCGCAGTAGAGGAGCCAGTGGTGGCAGGACGGGAGCTCGCTCAACACTGGTTGGTTGGGCGCCGTGACCGGAGAATCGAATCCACCTGCCGTCGCCAGGCCACGCCGTATTGTGCGCGCACCTTCCGAAGGCTGCATGCATGCTCCCTCCCCCCTCCTCCTCCTCTCTCTCTCCTTCTCTCTACAGCGCTGATCGATCTGGTGAATGTACGTATCGGCCTGCTCTGGCTTTGGCGTGCCATCGCCATGCATGGCCTCTCTCTCCCTCTCTCTCTGCACGCTTGACTGCACCGGCGTAGTCTCGTGTCCCATATGAGAGGCTCCTCGTCTCGTCTCGTCTCGTCTCATCTCATCTCATCTCATCTCATGTGCCTGCGTGCTCCGCTCCGGCCTGCGACTGCGCAGTCTATCTTCTCCTGTAAGGGAGAGCTCGATAAAGGCGAGGAGGAGACACGCAGCAGGGTTGAACGAACGGGAATCATTCAAACAAAAAAGTTTGTGCAGCAGGCCCGCCTGACGTGCTCCCTGCCGGATGCCGGCCTCACACACAAACTTTGAACCGTCCATGTATGCATACGTACGTCATATATATATATGGTCCCGTTTAACTAGCGTGTACAGTATGTACACTCTCCATCATCGCCCAATCATGCATTATCTTTTTGGGATAAAGATGCCAGCTTCATGTGGTGCATGGTTTGCCCAAATTTGTTAGCGAATGATGGGTATCTCTGGATCATGTCAAGATCATAAGGTGGCCGGAGAAGCTTGCAGTAGCAACCACTCCGTCTTAACATGACATGGAGACCGATACTGTGATTTGTTAGCCATATATACTCCTAGATAGAAGTATATATTGTCAGAGATCAATATTGGTCAGAGATTATTATTGTTAGTCTGAAGTTATATCTGAACAGTAGGGCGTGCAGGTGAATCTATGCCGGTATCTCCGATAACAGATAGCACCAACGTACAAATCTCTGCCTGCTCGATTGTTTCAGAACACTGGTGCCCAGCTTGGCATGAGCATTTTTTCAACCAAAACCATAGTGCTAGTCCAAATATTAGGACAGACATGAATACCCCATAATTTACAGCAATAGTCTACTCTTCAATGTTTCCCATACACAAACAGTCATCTCAGCGCCGATTGGAGTACATGCTGTCTGATTTACAGAAACGAGAATCAGCGAAGCATCAATGCCATGCCATGCATGGTCCAAAACCCGGATCAGGGGCGGTCCGGTACATGCCAGAAAGCAAACAGAAGAGCTGATCCTTTTGCAGGAGTACTTGCTTGCGAGTTGCGACCCCCAAACCTGTGTACGTTTGCATTTTTGTTTTTGGGACCAAAGTGAAGTAGGTAGTTTGCAGACAAATAAGTACTAGACCAGCTTGCAGCAAATGCAAATGTAACCTTACACAAACACACATTCATCGACATTTTGAAACGAAATCGATCGACATCTTCTTGAACTACACCCCACCATAATTTGCCAGTGACCCTCCTGACTTGAAGACTATACCACTATACCAGCACCACCAGTTACTACTCTCTTAATACTGATAAACCTAGCTAAGCAGACAGTAAACCGAAGTTACTCGTCACGTCACCCCCCACTGATTGATTAACAAAAGGAAAACACAAGTAATAATTGAGAAGGAAACCACACGACGCTAGACTGAGCTGAGCTACGCTATTGCTGTCATCATGCATGTAACAGCCGGCCGGCCGGCCGGCGTTGTCGAGGCCGATCATGGGAAGGCGCCGTTGAGAGTGGGCAAGTCCGGCCATGCCATCATTGACGCCGGCCCGCCGCTCCAGTACTGCATCTCCTGCGTGCCCAGCGACATGGTGGGTGGCTGCTGGTCCATTCCCACGGTGTGGCTGCTCTGCGCCGCCGAGACGGTCGACGCGGACGGCGGGAGCGAGCACATCGCCGTGCTGCAAGGGTAGGACGACGCCGGGGTGTCGTACGGGTGCGGGCGGCCCGCGCCGCCGTTGCTCACCACCGCGTTCAGCTGGTCGCTGTAGTAGCTCGCCGCGAGTGAAGATGGTGACGGTGAAGATGAGGGCGGCTTGAGCTCCAGCCCTGACAGCAGGTTGTGGTGGCCCTGGCCCTGGCCCAGCCCCAGCGAGCCCATGCCGAGGTGCGAGTCGAGGTGCATTGGTGGCGGAGGCATGGTCGGCCGGTGCGTCGCCTGCGGCCACAGCGACGGCGACATGCCCTGCCCGCCGTTGGCCGACCCCGGCAGGACCTGGAGCTGCCCCATGGTGTCAAGGCCGAGAAGCAGGTGCATGTTGCTGCCGGCGTAGCCGGCCCTGGCGCTGTTGAGCAGCGCCATGAGCTGCGCGGTGGCGGTCTGCGGCGCGGAGGCCCAGGACATGCCGCCGCCCACGCCCATGCCGAGGCCGAGGGACGGCGCGGCGCCGACGCCCATGCCGAGCACGGACTTGCAGGAGGAGGGCTGCGCCTTGGCGACGGGCGCCGGCATGGGGCGCGGCTTGCGGCAGCCGCCGCCGATGGGGACGTTGCGGAGCGCGCCGCCCTTGGTCCAGTAGCGGCGGCACGTCTTGCAGAAGTGGCGCGGCTGGGTGAGGTTGTAGTTGTTGTAGTAGCAGAACTTGGTGTTGGAGGAGTTGCACCGGGGGCAACGCAGCGGCGCCTGCTCCGGCCCCGGCGGCCCCTGCTGCGCCTGCCCCTGCCCCTGCGGCGACGACGCGGCCGAGGGCGACCGCTGCGTGGAGGAGCGCGAGGAGGTGGAGGAGGACGTGGGGGACGGGTTGGAGGAGATGGGCTGCAGCACCATGGGGAGCGAGCCGTGGTGGTTCGCGGCGTTGCCGGCGCACTTGAGCTGCTGCTGCTGCTGCTGCTGCTCCATGGCCGTGCCTCCGAGGAGTTCTTGGATCATGGCGGTGGAGGGCAAGCAAGCGAACACTCGAGCTCAAAGAAAAGGCTTCTTGGAGCAGAGGAAGGGCGAGCGAGCAAAGGTGGCGTGGTGGCTTCCAGGAGCTTTGTGGATCAGATCATGGGGTGGGGTGGGGCAGTGGCACTGGGGTTGGGGCGGTTTATAAAGAGCGTGGGAGGGGGCTGATCCAGGAGCAGCCAGCGCTAGGGCTTAGCGGCGCTTTGGTTCTTTCTGTGCCTTTGTCTCCGTTCAGACTTCAGAGGGTTAGCTTTGTCTTGATTTGTAATTTATACTACCTTGTACTACTACTAGTACTACATTTTTGTTGTCTGGTTGGAGCATCTGGATATTATTATTATCTGAGGAATGTAGGTAGAGTGGGGGCTGGACTGGGCTGAGGCTCATTGGAATGATGAATGGTGGGGTTGCATTGCATAGTTTTGCACTGTCATGTTGATGGACAAATGTCTGTCTCTGTGTTTCTATATAGTGCCATGTTTATCTCACCACGAAAATGCCTACTCAATTCCTTAGACCAGCTCACTTACACATGCATGAGTGACGCGCCTATAGGGGGTTTTTTGGCGTCAAAATCAGGGTCCTCTCTTTATGGATTATATACACAATGTTGAACAATGGTTTGCCGGGGGCAACAGAGGTAAAGCCAGAATTCATCAAAGCCAGGGCTAAAATTAAGCGGCTATAAATAACGGCAAATAACACTACCTCAAAAGAAAATCAACAATTAGAAATTAAACAAAATTAACTAGAGTAATTCAATTTGACATCACCGACTCAATGATTTCGGGTCGTACAAAGGAACTATGGAAAAAATTAGTTCGTACAACAAACAAGACATTCAAGAGATTGGACTTTCAATTCCTTTAAGACAAGTTTACCCCATGGAAGGGCAACAACATCACGGCCATTGCTCCTCTCATCGTTCCCCAGAGAACTATATGCAACACAAACAAGACTGAGAGGGACTATCCTTGGTACGGACCAGACAAGACTACCAGTATCGGCCTATGAGTAAGGTATCCTTGCGTGCTCAACGCCATGAAATTTGCCAGAGTTTTAAGGTTAATATGGTCGTGGTATGAATGGAACGAACCATACAAGTTATGGGTTGGTATGAGAAATCCTTGTGACGAGAAGCACCATGATCTCTTCTATGTCCCCACAACGATCACCAATGGCAATGGCTCAAAGACCCCATTTTGGGAGGGACCTTGGATCCATGAACAGAAACCTAAGGAGATCACACCTCTCATTTAAGAAGCATTCACTACCAAAACAGAAGGTAAGGATGCCCTTAGCAGAAACCTAAGGAGATCACACCTCTCAATTACGAAGCATTTATGCCGGTGTCAAAACCGGTAGACCTCGGGGTAGGGGGTCCCGAGCTGTAGATCTCGGATCGAGGGTAACAGGAACGAAGGAGACGGTGTTTACCCAGGTTCTGGCCCTCTTGATGGATGTAAAACCCCTACGCCCTGTTCTTGTTTATATTGATGGAGATGTATCGAGTACAAAATTAATCTACCTTGAGATAGTAATGTGTGGTCTAACTCTAGGGCTAGGTGAATGATTTTGTGTTGATGTCCCCTCTACGGGCTAAACCCTATGACTTATATACACGCCAGGGAGGGTACGTAGGGTTACATGGTCGGTAACTAGGAGCTAGGTGGCATCAGAGATCTTGGAGTATAGGTCAAGTCTTCGGGGGAGGCAGACTTGATCACGCCTCCTGCATATAGCTTTCGGAGTCCATCTGATCACGAATTAAGGCTTGTTGACCCAACCCGAAGAGAATGGGCCGGGTGGGTTAGTACTCCCTTATCCAGGACACCGTTAGTAGCCCCCGAACTGGTCTTCTATGCCGAGGAAAATATGTATGATTTCTATAGAATATTTAACTATTTTAAACACACTCCGGGGGATGCAGCTGTGAGCCACAAGCTCATAGGGCGCGCCACCCCCTAGGGCGCTCCATGTGGGCTTGTGGGTCCCACAGGGACCCACTCACTTACCCCAGCCGCACATTCCCTTCTTCTTCCTCCAGAAAAAATCACTTATTGCTCAAACCCATGTTCTTGCTCCTTAGAGCATCTCCAGCCGCGCCCCCAGGAAGGCCTCCCCAGGCGATTTTTTCGTGCCGGCACCGAAAAAATGGCCCAGTCGTGCCCCCAGGAGCCCGATTTTCGCCGGCCTAGGCCGAAAACAGCGCCGGCGGACCCAGGCCGAACCCGGCGCGCTGGGGGGCGCCCGGGGGCGCCGGAGCGAGCTGTTTTGGCCCGAAAAAGCTGCCGGCCAGCCGCGTCAGTGACACGGCGCCTCGTCTTCCCCCAACGGCCTCGGTTCCCGCGGGGAATCAATGGCAAGGCTGCCGCCGGTCAGCCTTGCCATTGATTCCTCACGGGCGGCGCGTCACGGGGCAGCGCGCCGATGCCTCCCCTCCCTCGCACGCGTACACACGGCGCGGCGCGGCTATATAGCCGGTGGCCTCACTCGCATGTGCCCACACTAGCCCCGCCCCTCGCCGCCGCCCAGCCCCTCCCTCTCCCTCTCTACCTCTCCCGAACACGTCGCCATGGCAGAGTGTTTCCCCGGAGACGAGGCGGCGGCCAACGGCTTCGACCGCTGTTCGCTGCACGAACAGGAGTCCTGGCTCCTATTCCAGGCGAACATCCTGGCGCCGCCGGACATGCGCGCCGGGCCGACGGGGTGGAGACTCAGCGACGGGGGAGTGCCCATTCCCCCGTTGCCCGACGCCGTGGCCAAGCCCAAATACTTCGCCGAGGAGGTCGAGGTCGTACGTGCCTCCCTCACCGACGCCCAGCTCTCCCTCCCCCAGTATGCCGCCGACAACCACGCGGCTTGGGCGGCGTACTTCGAGCGCCGCCAGCAGCAGCGGTTGGCGTCCACCAACGGCGCGCCGGTGGTCGGCGGCCAAAAGAACAGCGAGGGGCACCACCTGTGGTGGGGCGTCCCCGGCCGCACACTCGAGGGCGTGCTGACGAACCTCGAGTGCGGCAACGACCCGCCGTTGGCGTACCCGGTGAGGGTGGCCGCCCCGGCGCACCACCGACGCGCCGGGCCATGGGCGCCAAGGAGGTTCGGGTCCTCCTCCTCTTCTCCCTCCTCGTGATCTTCCTCGCACTCCTCCGGTACTCCAGCCCTGCTCGGCGTCAAGGCCGAGCCCGCGGCGGAGACGCCGCTCGGCCGGCGCACTCGCAGCGCCGGCATCGTCATCAACGAGGGCGGCCGGCGCGCCTTCTCGTCGGCTCCTCCTCCGCGCTTTGTCAAGCCAAAGACGGAGCCCGGGCTCACGCCGGTGACGAAGGAGCCGGCCACGCCGGTGAAGACAGAGCTCGACGACGATGCGGCCTTGGAATGGGCGCGCAGGGACTCCATAGTGATGGAGAAGGAGCGCTTGGAGAAGGCGAAGGAGCGCCGGTGCGCCGCCCTTTGCCGCTTCGCGGAGCGCCGACGCGGCCGCGATGAAGGCGGAGTCGTCGTCATCTGCGACAGCGACGACGACGACGCGCCGCCGCCACCAGCCCGCGTTGGCGACGCGGTCAGGGATCCACCAGGGACGGCCGCGTCAAGGAGGAGAAGTCCGACGACGGCGGCGACGATGGCGGCGACAACGGCGACTACTCGGTGTTTAGCCAGTTTCTTTTTTAGATTAGTTATCTATTTTGCTATGTAATGAAAATCCGTGAACATGTCTAATATATGCCCAAGTTTGCCGAAATTTGTCGTGTTTAGCCGAACTTCACCGAACTGTGCCAAAATTTGCTATACAAATTTTATTTTTAAACGCGACTGGGGGCGGCCCTGGGGCCGGCGGCTGGGGACCAACTCGCCCCCAGGCCCAATTTTTGCACCGGCTCACCCCCAGGCGGCGATTTTAGGCGCCCCCTGGGGGGCCAATGGCTGGAGATGCTCTTAGACTGCAAATTTTGATCTCCTTGCTGGGAACTCCATTTCCAAAACTGTTTTGGGAGATTGTTCTCCGGTATGTGACTCCGCCAATGGTCCTATTAATATTTGTTCTAGTGTTTTATATATTGCAAATTTTTGCCACTGTGGTGACCTTGTTCTTGAGCTTGCATGTCAAATTTATATGGTCCAAAGTAGTTTTGATGCATGATATAGCCTCTAGATGCTTATGGGAGTAGTTGTTATCAGTTTTGTTGAGTTTGGTTCACTTGTCACTATTTTTTTTAGAAAATCTCAGAAAAATAAAATGCTCAAGTGGAGGCTACGAGGATCTTCAAGCCGGACTCCTAAGGAGGTTCCGAAGCCCAAGTATCACCTTCCTTGTGCTGTCGAAGTACGGTCGTGCAACACTTTCTCGAGGGATGCGGGAATTCTCGATGAGTTCTATTATTCCGCGAATGGTGTCGGCATTCTCCCCTTCCTTGAAGATAAGTGTGACCAGTACCTTCTCCTCACAAATACTTTTGTTCAAAGCTTTCATTTTCTCTCTAGGGCGGAACCACCCACAGTCACATTCAACCTATATGATGTTCCTACAGAGATGGCACTAGATGAGTTTTGTGAGGCTTGTTTGATCCCACCTGAGGGCAGCCCTATAGAGCCACGTCCCTTTAACCTTGAGGATTTTATATCCGAAGTCACTGTTGGGGAGACGAGAGGAGTTTTGGAGGCTAGAGTTGCTAGTTTACATTTCCCCGTTTTGCGCTATTATTCATTATTTGCCGGGACGTGTTTGACTCGACGGTGGGAGAGTGGAACACTCAGCTCTCCGGACCTTGCTATTTTGCGTCATGCTCTTTATAGCGATAGGACTTTCAGTTTGGGCGTCGTGGTTGCTCGGCGGTTACACACTAACCGCTCGAAGGGAATTATTTATGGTGGTATTTATGCTTCTCACCTCGCTAAACATTTTGAGATACCTATTAGGCACGATGAGGCGGAGGAGATACTTTTGCCTGTTAGATACCTTGACTATGCTAGCATGGTTGGGCATG